AATTTTCGCCTCACACCCCCAACCGTTGTAATGTTGCAAACGGATTATATAGTATGTCACAAAAGTGTTGATATATGTTTGCACACATGTACATCCATATGTATGTGCGAACGTCTCAAACATAGAAATTCATAGCATTATTATTGTACATACATTTGATTTATATATGTAGATATGTACATATGTATGTACATATGTATATGTTGAAAGCATATGCACAACTGTTCACACATCTAATCTTAAAAAAGCCTATGCTTGCCATGCACCCAACCTAGTTTCCACTATTTGTTCTACTTTTCGTTTCGTTGCAGTGCAACTTAGCAGCAATTCACCTCACGTAAAACTGATGTCAGGCCAGCAAAAGCTTGCAATTTTTCATAACTTGGATGTTGCTTCTACTTGTAGTGTCTTCAGCGATTATTTTCATAACTTTATTGCACAATCCACGAAATAATCCATGCACTCATGTACTCGAAACCCGAATATGTGTGAATATATGTATGTATGTATTTGTACGCGGCCGCGTTCTTCACAGATGCGCTTATGCGTGCGACAAACAACCGAATCGACGATGGAACGAAAGCGTTCGATGTGTGACTACAGGCGATGGCGTTTTCGGAGAACCCTGGTACGCGTGTTTCGCGTCYTCGATTCTAATGTTTTGCTTTTCGGCACAACACAACAACATATACTGAATCCAAAGTACCGCACTATGCATGCACACAAGCAGTAGTGTGTCAGGGAATACCACTTTAGACGAATGCGACGCAGCGACGCCGGCAGCGCAAACATCAGTGTCAGCTGCGCCATAACTAAAGCCGTAGGCAGTAGTCGTCTCCAAAGCTAAACGCTCCCTGTTCATATATGTAGTCAGCATTCAGTCAGCTCTTCGTACACAAAACACCAGTGCGCTCCACAGCAATTGGCATGCTCTCGCTCGTTTGGTCTGTGTTGTAACAAAGAGCGATGCGGCTGTTGTGTGCTAATCGTAAACTGAGTGGAAACGCCGACGTGCCAATGTTTGAAGCGAGACGACGCACGATTCAAAATTAGGTCAACAGGTTTGGAGTGGGCCTTCTCATATGCTGTGTGATTGTATCTTCCCCGCCATACCGCAGTGCCATTATGCTGACACGACATTCAACGCAATTGCTGTTTATTTTGCGATTGTGTGGCGCTCAACGCACGATAAGTGAGCAGAGAGCGCACCTTCATGCTCGCCCAATTTGCACCTAATGCTCGGTAGCGCACCTCTTCCGTTTCTTTCCTTCCTTCCCAATCGTTCCGCACTCATTCGGTTGCGCGGCAAAAACCGTAAGTCGGCCAAACCACCGACGCAATGCATTTATTGCGCCACCGCCACAGCCAACTAATCATCCGCTCGCTGCTCGCTGCTCGCTTCTTTCACATAGCATTGTGTGATTAGTTGTTGTTAGACTAACGGACTTGGTTGTTGTTGTTAGTTGAACGCTTGGTGTTTTGGGCCAGGGTAGTGAAACAGCTTTAATAACAATTCCAATACTGATTGCGCTGTACGGTGTTGATTAGCAGTTACGCCTGCAGGTACTTAGGAACGGTGGAGTCTCGTTGTTGTTGCCGCTGTCGCTGACGCTGTCACATCCACTGTTGCAACCGTCGCAGCCACTGTTCCAATGCAGCACCCAACGGCTAAAAACATTGTGCTAGTCGCATTCGATACTCTGCTTAGCAGCGCTAATATACCTGTATAATCGCGCGTCTAGAAGTCGTCTGAAACAAGCTATGAATAAGGTGTCAGAATGCTACTTGCACACCTACACACCCACATGCAAGCATAAGAGCGATGGTGTACGCTGGCGAACGTCTGTTCCAAATGTGCAGACAAGCGTTTGCAGCACGGCGTGGAATGGCATGTGCAATGCCTTTGGTTGAATTGCAAGTCATCAAATGTGTTAGTAGGAACTTCTGAAAGTGCACATACATATGTATATATATATGTATATTGTAGAATACCTACTGAATATACACTAGTAGTTCCTAATCTCCAGAAGGGTTGCATAGTAAATAATTTAATTTATTCTATTTAGTTTATGTTTTTTATTTCATTCTCTCACAAGTTCAATTTACACGGTTTTGAATTCCAGAAAAATAATAAAATAAATAAACCGAAGCTATAAAACCTTCCACAGGCACATTTCTTATAGCTATGGTATAAAAAGCTATCTACTATAGAGGTCAGATCTGACTTATTTATGTACATGTTAGTTGATTGTAGCGTTGTTTTGGACAATAATCAATGCCAAATTCTGTGAAAATATCTTGTCAAATTAACAAATTTTCCTTACAAGATCTTTATTTTAATCGGTTTGACAGCTATACTATAATGAAATGTAAAAAAGGAGAAACAGTATTTGTGATATCTAAAACTACTCCATATATGTAGATATATGTATTTTTGCTGTAAATGATCAGAATGTTTGCTATAAATGATCAGAATGACGAGGCGAGCTGGAATTCGGGGACTGCAAAATTCGGTTCCGATAATTTGAGAACAAATTGAGATATCCTTCCTTGGTATAAAGGGGAGGTTAGTATTTCAGATGAGCATAATCAGACCATTGTCACGACCATGAAACTAAATTATACGAAACCTATATTTAATAGTTATAGCCTAACTGCATTGATATATAAAACGGCCATTTGATACATGCAATCGCTTTAAGGACAGGCATCCATGGTTTTAAATCTTTGAAAAGCAGGCGTGGTATCGCCTCTAATAGATCCAAAGTCCATACTTTACAGTGCAATAGAGCTATATTAACCAGCTTTGCTCAGAACTCCCCTGAGTTGAGTTTATCACATATCAATAAATTAGATTGATTTTATTATTAATATTTCGGATTCCCGGTTTCACAGTCCATACTTAAGTTGTGCTTCAGATAAAACAGGAAAACAGTGTTTTACAGTTCATACTTAAGTATTGAAAATGTGAGACTTAAGCAGCGCTTAAGTAACAGCTGATTTTTTGTTTTGAATTTTTAGTTATTTGTGAAAAGAAATAAGATATTATATTTTGTAAAAAAAATATGCAATCGGATTGGGATTTCCACCAGTTCCAATAGCTGCTCCGACTGTTGTTTTCATCCATTTTTTTATTACATTTTTTAATATAAAGTTCTCCAACACCTGATAGCATTTCCTAAGTCTTGATCCTTGCGAGACTATAAAATTTGCGATTACACCCGAACTTAGCTCTTCCTTACTTGTTTTATATAATTATCAAAAGCACTTACATATGAATATATTATTAGAAAAAACTTAAAATTTATAATCTTAATTTTTCATTTTTCAATAATTAATTTTGGCAGTTTGGATTTTCAGGATTCGTATAAGGATGTGAGATTTTGAGCAATAGCAGCGATTATTATCAAAAATGTAAAATTCAACTCAAAAGCGTACTTGTTTTAACACACAAATTTAGATCTTCCCAATGCTCACTATTTTTTACGTTTTAGCTTTGCTCTTTACGCTTGGACTTGGTCTACAATATTCAAGTTTCATGCTTCTACTTGTGTGATCTCAATCGCATGCAGCATGGCATATAAACACCGAAAACTATTTGTATCGAAAGCACACGTTCTGTTATTATTACCACCTGATTACGATGTGTCTACGAGTGCATAACGAACTACATAAATACACACATGCAAAGTGTACGACTTCGTAAGTACTATATGTACTGACCCAGTGAGGAAAATAACAGGTGACACTTCGGTGCCCTGTTTGATGACATTCTTAACCTGCTGGTGATTTGGTCTGGAACTGAACTCAAATTGAGGCGCTATAAACTAGTATATTTATTCCTTATTGGTATTTAAAGATAATGATTATTACTACTTCTCTTGTTATTTGGATTTTTGCCGTACTTTTTCTTCGGGCTATGCCGAAAGTGGATGGATCTGCATCATTAAGTCTCATTAAATCGGCTAACGGATTTTAGATCATCAAAACCCTCTGAAGTTTACCTCTACCTACCGCCCATGTATGTACATTTGGTAATATTTTTAGGTTCTTACCTTGTCAGGACTTTAACCCACATTCCACTTAGTGCTAAGCACACACTTAGCCTACGAACGGTAATCACAAGTACTCTTTAATGACAAATTTGGTATTACTAGACTAATTCTAAATAATTTACTCGTAAACATTTCCATCATCCTAAAATTTCCTACAAGGTAATCATAGGTACGAGCTGAACGAACGCACATTGCGCAAACAAATTACAACCACTACATATGCGTGTGTTTGTATACATGAATGCGGGTACGTAAGTGTGTCCAATTGAATGCCTATTCGTATAGTTAAGAATTTCGAAACGACCTATGACAATATTTAGTTGCCTAATCACAAAATAGAGTTACTGTGCTGTTCCTCTTTGATTTGAAATATGTGAAACGGACGAATTTGCAGAGATTTGAAAGTGGAAGTTGTTCTTATTCCAAAATTAATAAACGTTTTAAGGGTTCTTATGGTTAGTATGTTATATACATATGTATGAGTTTTAAAACAATAATAATGTAGTAAATCCATGTGAGGTTTAATTCAAAAATTTCATTTGGAGTTTACTTCTTCCCCTTTCAATGTCCGGGTTATTGAAATAGAATAGTCACAAGTTTTTGTTTCGAATAAGTAAGAAATAACTGTAATTATTCTACGATACTGCTGCGTTAATTGCGATAAATAGTCTAAGATTTCTAACTTATATTTTTACTTTTGAAGAACTGTTAAAAAGTTAATTTTTTTGTTTAATAAAGTGAGGCTATTTTCATAAGGGGTTTGTTCAGTGCTGGTTCAGTTTCCCAAACAGTTTGCTTTTACGCTACGAACCTTGTTTGATTAGTTACTGTAAGGTTAGAAAATATTTAGATAAGAAGCATGTTGAAAAGTGTTTGGTTAAAAAAACTAAAGCTGTAATTGAAACATATGCAAGTAGGTCAGATTTCAAATATAATTAAACATACATTGAAATTAAGTAAAAACGCAGGGAAGAAGAGCTCCAGCCCCGATGTTGCAAAACATAACTGGAAAAGGCGTATGCCTACATATTTACTTGGTTCAGCACGCATACACATATTCCATCGTATCGATGCATCTCTCGAGGTTTGCCCAACCGCAGTAACTCTACCAGTTCTGAACTGTAAAATGCGGATACATAAGTGAAACACTGTAGAAATAAGACTTAACTAGGTAATCCATAATGCACTTGATTTTCTAAATTTTCATTTTTTATTAGCTCCTGTTTCTAATCTGTTCCATGTATTTTTTTTTTTTTTTTTTTTTTTTGTGAATTTCGTGTTTGTTGTCGTGCAATTTCCATTAAATTTTATAGTATGACAAAGTGCACTCTCGAAACGCCATACACACTTTTCTGACAACAACAGTGCCTTCCGCTTCCCGCCCACACCCAGCACATATTGCAACATCGCAGTTCTGCACTGCACCGACAGTGAATTAAATGCAGTTCGGTAAAATTGGTCGATCGGATATTGTGGTCTGTGCTACTCTTGCCACTCTTGATACACTCTATGCTTGTTCTACTGGTTGTTAGTTTCTTTATTTATTATTATTTTTGTTTTTTTCATACTAACGGTAGTAGGTCGCTGCAATTACCAATCTAAACGTATGGTGCAGCAACTCCTGACAGGGTTGGCGAAGTAATGAAGTCAAGTGGCTGTTCGGTAAAACACGTAACGCGTATTTCACGTACCTCGCGGCAAGTTCCACCGAAGCCCGTTACACGAAATACGTGAATAATTCAAATACACAAGTCGGAAGCAATAATAACAACAAACAGTAAACGAAAAACAAAGCACTCTCAATAGCAATAGGTAACTAACAACAATAATAACAACAATAAATTCAACAATGCATATTTAACAGATATAAGAAACTAAAAGAATCACTTGCTAACGATGAAGAACAACGAGCGCTGTGAGCACAAAAAAAAAATTAGTACAAAAACGAAACGAATGGCCGGACAGAAACAAATAAGTGAGCGACCGAGCGAGCGAGCGAGCGAACGTGTAAAAACGTCCGCATCCGAAAACACACTGGTAGCAGATAGCGGCTCCATGGCTGTTGTAGCGACGAACACTACTGGATTGCTCTGCTTGCATGCGACACTGTGGACGGCGACGTCGACGCCGAAGGTATCCACCCCACCGAACCGCAGACCATCAGCAACAACGTTGCTACCGCCATTTGAGCATCTCACAAAGTCGGGAAATCGGTATAGTGTGCCGCCGCCACTGCCCCTTGCGTGCCACCGCACCCACGGCTACCACCGCACACTATTGTGAACGCTGACTACCTTTCCGTACAGCTGCGCGTGCGCTTTATCTCGAGCGACTGAACTGCGAACACTACAACTCCTCAAGGCCTACATGGATTTAGGCCACAAAAATGCCGAAGTGATTCAAGCCAATTCCAAGAGACTCAAACGGCGTATAAAAACGCAACTAAACATTTTCATTTACATACAGACAAATATACTATATATACATATGTATATAAATTTGTTTATACATACAATTGTATATACATACGTACTTCTAAACGCATATTCGTATGTATGTATGTGTCTCAAGCAAAGTTTCTTAACGCTCTGTTGGAGTTAGTATTGGGAAACTAAATTGCACTGTCTACAGCAACAACGCAGGCGTTCGACAACGGCTAACACGGCAGCGGCAATAACATTGGCTTAAGAAACCAACAAGCCAACGGCAAGCCACTGGAAGTTCGGACTGCGCTCTCGGCCGACCCACAAGAGTCTGAAGTCAGCGAAGGGGAGCACCGTCAACGAGTGGCGGCAAACATTCACTTGCGCTCTTTGTTTAGAATTGCATGCACATGCACATCTAGATACACATACAAGTGTAGATATATGGATGTATAAACTTTAGCATCATTGAGCATGGAAACCAAGGCTTGGAAAAATAAAGCAACTTAGCTCGCCTACTGATTTACGTATTTTAACATATGGTAAACACACACAGATGTATTTACATACATATATATACCATCTGCACCTGCTTATTTTCATTTAGTGGTGGGGAGCAAAGTGCGGATGCCCCCATTTTGGACTTAAACTTACTCGCAAGGTCCAACTGGCGTTCTGCTGCGACTTCGGTCATTATTGTAGAACTCGTTGTCTTAATTCTAATCGGAGATTCTTGCTGTTTTAATAATAGTACACCAACAGACCACCAATAATACTCTTTGATTTATGGATTTGGAGACTGTGTCCAAGATTAACGGGAGGGGTAGCCGCTGTTCTTAATTCGCTGAACTATGTCAATGTCATCATATATCTCATACAGTTCATCGTTCCATCGAATGCGAAGAGGACCATTAATCTTTCGCAGAACTTTTCTCTCGAAAACTCGCAACGGCGAGTCATCATATGTTCCATGCCTCTGCATCATATAGCAGGACGAGAATAATGAGTGACTTATAGAGTTTTGTTTTTGTTTGTCAAGAGAGGACTTCTCAATTACCTACTTAGTTCGAAGTAGCACCTGTTGGCAAAAGATATTCCGCGTTGGATTTCGCGGCTGACGTTGTTGTTGGTGTTGATGCTGGTTCCAAAATAGACGAAATTACCTAGGGCTTAGAAGTTATGACTGTCAACAGTGACGTGGGTGCCTTACCGCGAGTGCGACGACTGTTTGTTTGATGACAGGAGATATTTCGTCTTGCCCTTGTTCACTACCATACCCATTTGCATCGCTGCCTTATCCAGTCTGAAGAAAGCAGAACTTATTAAGGCCAATGATATCAATATCATCAACTCCCGTAGAAGATGGTATCTTCTATGTTTAGTTATGCAGCTCGAGTCATGTGTAGAAGTTCACGCAAGTGAGGAAAGTTCTCTGATTGCCATTCACTTTCTTTTACATGTGGCTCAAATACCTCACGACTTCCGGTCTTTGATCAAATATCCTCTGGGTAGCCTAAGAACATCCGTTTAAAGGTGACCTAAATTGAGAAGGCGAAACATCCCCTTCACAGGGTTGTGCATTGGGTTTAGGACTCGCCACGTAAAAAACGCCCCAATAAACAGTCAAACACAACCTCGGTTGACAGACCCCCATTTTGATGACGACCATAGCAAACCGAAACAATATTACTTTACAAAAATACAAAAAATTTCTTACAAGACAACTTTATTTTTATCGGTCAGTTTATATAGTATCTAGAACCTATAGTAATGCGATTTGAATTTCGAAGATTGCACCGTCTCCTTTACCTTTAATCCAAGCCAAATTTCGTGAAGATACCTCGTCAAATGAAACAGTTTTCTATACAAACACCTGCTCCAATCGTTCAAATTAGCAGCTTCTTAGGGCGAAAAAGGTGGTGTTTAAAATTTCAGATTGATAAAGAAAGACGAATGGCCATGCTCATGTGCATATATACATGTACATACATATATGTCTTAAGGCCCCCCGACGTTTCCTTCTGTGTGTTACAAAGTTCGTGGCAACTATACCCTATTCAGGATATAATATTACATATCAAAAAAATAATGAAACCTTTTTGAGAGTGTTCCGCAATTTACAAGATAATATGGGTATTTATGGATAGAGGAAGAAGAAGAAAGCATAAAAATAAATAAAAAAGTCGACCGCACCTTTATTCAATATTTACCTTTTGTTCACACAATAACAAAAGTGTTGCATTCTAACAAATGATAAGCAGTGCCGGATTAGCCACGTAGCAAGAGTATGAAATGCTATGGGCCCCGCGAATCAGGGGGCCTCGCGCTCCAACTGACCGTAATTAAAAATATATCAATTTAGATGGAGCGTAAAATATCTTTGCATGTTTTAAACGCGAATCGCTTAGGCTATGCTCACTTCCACCTTCCACCTGAAAATCTAAAAATCTATTTCGTCACATTAAGCATTTTACGAATTTCTCAACTTTAATGTTCTAATTTAATATATATTTAATTATAGATATTATAATCGATATATAGTTAGACTATATCCATACTAGGTACATATTTGAAGGGTAGACTTTATTATCAAAGATTTTCGTGGGCAAAGCTATTATAATGCCAGCAGCATAAGTGGGATATACAGTTGCGAGCAGTGAAATAGTAGTGGGTGTTAGAGTTTTACATACCTGTGAGTTATGCAAAATTCTAAACAATTTTAACATCAATTGATGATGAGAAGATATATTTATTCACAAAGTTGTGTTTATATATGAAATTTGATGGGAGCAGTAAAATAGTAGTAAAGTAATAATTTTTTTTTTTAACTGAAGGATTTTTGGAAGTTCCGTCTATACGAGATATTAGTACTTGGTAGCATGTCCATGATTTGTAATAACAGCAATACAACGCCTCTTCATAGAATCTTTATAAGGGGAGCGTCTTAGATACTGAAGGGACCCTTTACCGCCGTATAGAATAACTTTCGACACGTCTGTCCAAAAGATGTTGCGCCATTTCTCAATCGGCAATTCACAATCGGTCCGTTGGCAAATTTAAGACAATTTCCTATATGATTTTTTTAATAACGGTACTTATCGAGGACTGCGGACATATAAATTATGTTCATGTAGAAGTCTTCTCACTGTATGAACACCGAAGGCCAGGTTCAGTTCATTCCGAATCTCCATAGCTGACGTTCTAGGTCGAGTCTTGGCACATCTTACAACTATTGGTGTAAAATTCTCGGAAAGAATCCATATTGCGCCCCTTTTTTCGTCTTTTTTATAAATATGTAATTGCATTGTGAGTCGTTGTGGCTTAACACCCTACAATTCTTTCCACTCCCTTGTAGGATTTACCGTTGTTTATGACAGATTGAATACATTCTCGTTTTTCGTTCCGCGGCCCAAAAAAAAGTGCGAAGTCATATTTTTTTTTTGCTTTTTGCATTGAATAATTAATAAAAGATCTGGAAACTTACTTATTGTTTGATAAAATTAAATTTTTTTTATTCAAAATTATCTGTTTACAATCATCTCATCGTTCACTACTATTCTGTTGCTCGCTCATAAAAACAGATATCCCAATAAAATTGGCTTTAAAAAAGTAACGGTAAGCAATTCACACTTATTGTTGTATATAACAGGACCGTTATACTTCAGAGAATATAACTAAAATAATGATCGACGGCAATATCATAAAAGAAACAAAATTTAAAGAAAAACTCTCTTGGCCAATAGGCACTACTATTTCAATGCTCGCAACTGTACATCGGCTTACAAGCCCGAATTAAGAAAATAAATAAGTATGCAGGATACATTCCCTGCCTTGCACATTCATTAAATTTGGCTGCTAAGTGCGCTATAGACTGCTGCAAATTCCTTAAGCCTGCGTCTACAAATTGCTGTGCAATCGAGAACCAGGTGTTCTGGATTTTCCTGTTCCATGAGCTAAAACCGACACAAGAAGCTATGCCCATATGGAATAGGTGTTTCCAGTTTGCAGTACTCAGTGCAAAGCGCGACAAGGAGTCGGAATTTGTTTCGGAAGAGGTTCATAATATCCTTGAACCTAGCTAGTTTATAACCTCCAAGTAGCCGCTTAGTATGGCGAGTATTTCTCTCTACTGGCTCTCTTCTCCCCTCTCACCGCCACCCGGATCACTAGATGGAGCAGTGGGAGCTCCAGCATGACTTCAAGTTCTGCGTTTTAACTGTGTTATTTTCACATGCCTATTCCACCGTAAGGTGGAGAGTAATATATCACCACCTCACTATTTTCCAGTGAGTTCTGGATTTCAGCAGTTAGTTGGTACAAAGCAGTGTTGGTCGACCTTCTTGTTCTTATGTAGTTGAAGTGAGACTAATAGTCCTGAAGGATTTAGACAGGGAGTAGTTTTTCCTTCCTAGGTTAGGAATGGAGGTTACTCTTGCTATTCTCCACGGTACTGGGGTATACGCCATCACTAAGCTAACTCTCATCAGCCCAACGAGGTGGGGCAATAGAGCCCGCCGTTCTTATTGCACAAGTGCCATGGAAGATGAGATTTGCCCCTGGTGACTTATAATTGAAGAAAAAAGCCAT